TGAACAGCGTACCCTGCCCGAAGGAGGCATTACTTTTTTTGTGATTTCGTGTAAAAGAACTTACGATCCTTGATTGCTCGCATTACATTCAAAAGTGTAATGTGAGGGCGCCTACTGTAGAAATATTTTTATCAGGTCTGACTCGCGAGCTAAAATGTTTTTTTTTTTTTTTTTTTTGTCCGAGTGGTACGATGCTGGATCAGCCAGAATTCTTCTGCTCTTATGGACCATGTCGCTTTAGGGAGGAGGCGATCATAGCCCTCCATATCCTCCTGTTCCTTGTAATTCTTAATAAGATTTTTTTTGTTATTTTTCCCAAATCCTGTTCTCAAGCCCATTAAATATGTCACTCGTTGGTTTCCCTTGTCTCTCTTTCCCTCTACCCGTCTTGTGAGCATCATATTTTCCAAGCCCTCCTTCCTCATTACGTGTGCCAAAAATTTCAAAATGCCTCTTCCTGATGTTAAGTTTCCTTTTTGTTTCCATTCTCTCCAAACCCTCGCCGTTACTCATATCTTCGGCCCATGGTATCCCCAGCATCCTCCTGTAGAACCAAATTTCTGTTGCTTCAAGTCTCTTCTTAATCTTTGAGAAGGTTGTCCAGCATTCGCTGCACTGCAGGAGGAAGGATGTCACGTAACAGTTCAGTACTCTTTTCTTTCTTTCCAACGAAATTTTCCTGAATCTTAATACTCTGCTTAGCTTTTAAAATGCATCTTTGGCCTTTGCAATACGTCTTCTTCTTTCCATCCTCTGTTAGAACACTTCTCAGATATTTAAATTTCTATACATGCTTGATTTTATTGTCCCCACTCTTTAATTTGCATTTTGATTTGTTTTGTTTTACAGCATATCAACTTGAATGGGTTATTTAATGCTGACAAGATTTTTTATTGCTGCTAACATTTTTTTTTTAAAAGATCTATTGCTGGTAATATTTTTTTCTTCAAAAATCTACTGCGGGCAATAATGTATTGCTGTTAATATTTTTTCTTCAAAAATACATTGCTGGTAATCATTTTTTACAAAAATATATTACTGTTATTAAAAACTATTTCTACACTTTCATAGTGTTTTGTCCCCAGTTTGGGGTTAACTATTTTCCCATAGCTGGGACCCTAATAGATGCTACTACCCCGGGTCAGTATAGACCTGGGAACACTAGCAATTAGCAGGTGGTTCCACGCTCCTCAAAACCTCCTGATTAGAGGCATTGTTGTCGGATGTAGTTTATCGTCTTACCCAGGACGCGGATGTAGTTTATGGTCTTACCCAAGACGCGGATGTAGTTTATCGTCATGCCCAGGAAGCGGATGTAGTTATCGTCTTACCCAGGAAGCGGATGTAGTTTATCGTCATGCCCAAGATGCTTGCATTTTGGGCTCATCTTTTTGCTGATGACCATGCATTCTGTCTTCTTGTAGTTTATACTTTGTCCCTTATGATTAAATGCCAAGTTTCGCTTTTGTCTAAAAACTTTCTTCTTTAAAAAACAAAAGAACAATTATATTTTGTTCAATTATTTGCACTAGATATATAAATGTGAAAGGCGGATCTTGCTGAGAAAAATTATCTGGCACAAAACAGTGAAGCAACTCTATTAGCAGCAGACCCAGCAATTTATTTACCAAGAAGGTAAAATAAGTTTCTCTTTTGGGGGTTAGTATCAGCCATACTAATGGAAGGCATAAAGATTAAAATAGAGCAGTTTTGTTTTTGAGGCGTTAAAAGGAACAAGCCATTTCTTGCCTCAGTTAAAAACTTATTGGTGTTCATTTTCGAGAGCAGCTGCCAGTCCTACTTTGTCGGAACTATGCCATTCTAAGCTTGTCTGATTCTTACAAAACCAAAATTAAACAGCGACCATTAGCACCAACTGGAAATACACATCTAGGAATTAAGCCCTACAAGGCTGTTACAATTTTCATCAGGCAGCTTTTTAATCTCGAGGATCGAATGGGTACGTTGTTGATAAAACGTGTTTGCAGCTCATTAGTATTCGACTAAAGTTCTACAATATACTTGACTCCTTCTCTCATGCTTCATGGTTACATGAGTCAGATTCGACTAATAATGGAGTATTGTTTTTTATCAATTCACCTCAGGTAAGGCAATAATATCGCTAAAATAAAAGGGGTTACTTGGAGTGAAAGAGATTAAGAAGACTTTAGAAGGAACCGGAAACCCAAACTTAAACAGGAAACAAGAGATAAACCACTACTTCTGTTCAAAATGTAGGGAGGAGTTTAAACCGGACTATAGGTAAACTTATTTACTCCCAGTGAGGTAAAAAAATAGTAAATGAAATTTCAGAATTTAGGCGGATATGTCAGAAATATAGAATTGAAATTCTTAAAAACATGGACATCAACTCAAACGCATGTATTTGCCAAATAAATTTATATATATATATATATATATATATATATATATATATATATATATATATATATATATGTGTGTGTGTTTGTGCGTGTATGTGTGTGTGTGTGTGTGTGTATCTGTTATACCGGAACATACCTATTCTATTGTAATAGACTCTCCCACACATAATAAGTAGTAATAGTAGTATCGGTCGCCAGTTGAGCTCAGAGTGAGTTGGTGAGTCAGTCGATGTCGGACCTTAAAGTATCAACCACCACAACTAGATTACTGCGTCATTAACTATTATTTCAAGTTCCTAACGTTTTGTACGTCGGACCCTTTTAGGACCGACTTAGTGAAATACAAGCCCCCACTGTGAAAACTACTCTACGGCAGTATCTGAGCGCGCGCGCGCGCGTGTGTGTGCGTGTGTGTAACAGCAACACAGTTTAAATCGTGTAAAAGCAAAATTGTCCATTTGTTAGATTAAGATTTGAACCGTTGTATCATATAACTGATTAAAGATATCTTACTGGAATTCTCCGAGGGTTTTATAAAACTACTTGACTCTACTTTGAAGCAGAAGAATGCATAATTACTCTTCAAGCTTAACAGAAGAATCGTGATGAAAACGATCATAAACGAAAATGACATGTTCATCATTAATTAATTATAGTTAAAGATCGGATGTTCATGAAGTATTAAAATAAACTCATATATATATATATATATATATATATATATATATATATATATATATATATATATTATTCCAGGATCATTTTTCAAGCTATTCAGGGTGATCTTCGCCCTCTCTAACCTTCTAACTTTCTGCTATGGAGTAACAACATGGCTCGCACGTTTCACCTACGATTTCATTTTCAAGCCTTTTTTCACTGCCCTTTGGATTGTCTTGGCTGAAACTCCTCTCTCACGTGCCAAACGTCTTATGGACGTCTATTGGGCTCTTCTTTGAGCAATAATAATGTACAATTACTCTCCAAGCTTAACACAAGAATCGTTATGAAATAGATCATAAACGAAAATGACATGTTTATCGTTAATTAATCATAGATAATTAATCATAGCTAAGTATCGGAAGCCCATGAAGTATTGAGATAAACTATATTATTCCAGAATCATTTTCCACTTTATTGAAGATGATCTTCGACTTCTCTAATCTTCTATCTTTCTGTCCTGGAGTAACAAGTTGCCTCATATATTTCATGTACGATTTTATTTTCAAGTCTTTTTTCACCGTCTTTGAACTGTCAAAGCTGAAACTCCTCTCTAACTTATCAAACGTCTATTTTAGTTGAATCTTTTCTAACTGATCTCTTTAGCTATAAGTTGAAATAATTATCCTTCTTCCTGTTGTGACCTCCTGATATACTTTTCCTCTCTACTGTTCCCTCTTTTTAAAAACTTATTCACCGTTCTCTTGATGGTTCTTGAATGGACTTTTTCCTCTCACGATTGCTTAGTTGGGAAGATATAGTGGGGCTGACACAAAACGATTTTAACTTGCCTTTCTAGCTGAATTACTCATAGGGGTTTTGCAGTGATTCTTACGACAAATGGTGTCAAGATGGCTAAACGGCGTATCTAAAAACCTGGGAAAAGAAACTCAATTAGTTTTGTGTTTTTTTTTTAGATATTAAACATTTTTATTCGATTTGGACAATTTTGGTGTTACACCTGGTATATATATATATATATATATATATATATATATATATATATATATATATATAGAGAGAGAGAGAGAGAGAGATATATAATATTTATTTCAGAGAATTTTATTTTTCTCTGGATCTTCAGACTTCATTTTCAAAAGGTGAAACGAAAAATAATTTTAAAATTTACACTTTTGACTGGCAGTATTAAGCTTATATAAGTTGATATAGAGGGTGGTGAGGGATGTTCTGAGAGACATGGCTGAGTTTAGAGAGGGAAGGAAGAGTTTTAAAAAATATTTTTACATTTCTTGTTATTATAATACTTAAAATTGAGGAAGGAGGAGGTAAGGATCAGACATTGACCTATTTAATCGGTCAACTCAATATATATATATATATATATATATATATATATATATATATATATATATATATTGCCATACTGGAGCTGGAGTAGCACAATATTCACTTTCTAGCCTTGACAGATTTTAAAATCGCTTACGCGTCCTTGTGGCCGATGAGTGACTTCCAACTCTAGATCCACCTTTCCAACAGGAGTGTAATGTTGCCAGCCTATCGCCATTTCCATGGTAAATATTCAGACCAGTTTCACCTTTACAGAAAAGACCCACAATGCTTGACTCTGTATCCCATTTGGAAGAAAGTAGTTCCACTGAGATAAGTTCTTTCCAAGAACGGCAGCTTTATGGAACAGATTCCTGTGTAGCTGCTACTCTGAACTTCTTCAAATCTGTAGTCAAACGTTATCTATCACCCATATCCGTATAATGTTTACTTCTCACTCCCACTTATTACGTCCATACGACACGCCTCATTCACTAAGCCTCTACTTTGAGTGGCTCTTGGGATTTATGTTACCTGAATATTAATAAATACAAATGAAACAAGAAACTCTTGTAAATTATTCTTTGGGTTTATTTATATCTTACTTGCTTACGTTAGAACACCGTTTCCCGTATGATCGCCGAAGTTAAGCAACATCGAGCAGAGTCAGTATTGAGATGGGTGATCGCTTGGGAATGCCGTAATTCCCTATGCATAATACGCATTTTTTTCTAAAAAATAATAAGCAAAAATTAGGGGTGCATATTATGCACAACTACAAACAAAAATCTTTAAAAAATTGCTGTTTTATAGGTCAATTTCAGTTGCGAAATGACTACTCACCACAAACATACGGCAATTTGACACTAACATTCGGCGATTGCGACCCAATAACGATGTCAAATACAATCATATGTACCTAACAATACTTACAAATGTAAAATAAAATAAGAATTATCATAAAACTAAATTAGAATAATATTGTCGAATGTGTAAAAACATATTTTTAATAAGAGTAGTAAACGCTGGCCGTAATGAAAATGGAGAAATACAATTTATAGGGTTTGATTACCAAACAAGAGTTCCATATTGTGCGTGAGTAGAAGCATTTCCCCACACTTTCAGCACAATTTGAGGGGTGCGTATTATGGATGAAGGCGTATTATACATGGGGAATTACGGTACCAGGTACTGTAAGCTTGGATGTGCGGGTGACGTAATGGATAATGGCTAAGAATTGTTAATCGGAGAGCCGAGTTCGAAATCCAGTTGGATTCGTTATATTCATTTATGCACAAATAACCTTGGAAAAGGTATGAACACTCGTCTTCTCCTCCAGCTTACATCATTAGACCATTATTATATACAAAGAGACAAAACAAATTCGTACAATCTAAAAATATTTTCTGGCTTAAAATAACCCTCAAAGGGTTGATAATGATTAGAAAACAAATCAACCCATTTTAAAAGATTTTAATTGTTTCCTAAAGTTATTACAGTTATTATAGGATTTAGCAACCCAAAAAAAAATGATTGGTTTATTTACGTATGAATTGGTACTTTAAAAAAGCTGAGCGCAGTATCTGTGCGTTCTGCTTAGAAACAAAATCTCAATATGAGCGCGCTTTTGTGTTAAGTGTTACGCACAATCAATCTAATATATATATATATATATATATATATATATATATATATATATATATATATATATATATTATTATTTTATTATTTTATAAGTGGTTATAATATAAACATGTTGAAATCGCTACACAAAACCTTTCATGTTTCAATATTTTGATTGTACTTCTTCAGGTGATGGTAAGTAACTGGTGATTAAATCACCAATTACTTATCATTGAAACATGAAATCTTTTGTGTAGCGACTTCAACATGTTTTTATTATAATCTCTTATAATAATAATACAATCAATATATTGGTCTACTTTGTATTGATAACATGTAAATGCTATAAAAAGTGGAATTTTACGACATCTGTTCTTTTTTCATTTGTATATATACATATATATATATATATATATATATATATATATATATATATATATATATATATATGAAGAAATATAGTTTTAAGATGTGCTGCTTTTATGGGATAAAGTGCTCAATATTAGGGATAGAGCGTATGTAAATATAGAAGTGAACACTGAAGTCAAGTTTTCAGAGGCAACAGAGTTGTTTCATGCTAGACGCAGTCATCAGACCACATATGTTGTTTTTTTCCAACACAGGTGTTCTGACGGTTGCGTCTAGCATGAAACAGCCTGTTGCCTGTCTGTGAGTGTGGATATCAATGTTCACTTATATATATATATATATATATATATATATATATATATATATATATATATATATTCCGTGTTCTATAAAATAAAAAACTTCAAAAATCAGCACATATTCTAGGCTACAAAAACCTCCTGAGTCGACCAAGCATAGAAATGAATACAATATGGGAACCAGTAATAAGGAGTGCTAGAGAAAAACGATGAATAACAACAAAAGATTGCAATATAAGCTATGGTAAAAAAAATATGCAATAATAATAACAGAAAAAATTGTAATATGAGCACTGGTATAAAATGGTTGCTGCGACATTAGGATTATAAGTCCCAGAGGTCCTCAAGGACACATGACTAAAGGCATTGGTTAGATCCAATGACAAGACCCAAAGAGTTGTGAGTTCAATACCAGACAACAGCACTGGTGAACCAAAAACCTAAAACTCGGAGTGTTGAGTTAAAGAGAAATAAGTGGCATAGCACGTGGAACTAAAACATAGTGGACGAAATAAAGGGTTCGATTCGAAATTCCAATCACCTGAAGAAGGCCAGAGCGTGCAACGGCCGAAACGTTGTGAATATGGCAATGAAGATGAGGATAACAGCCTGAATAATGTAAATAATGAAAGTAATCATAATACCTCATCTCAGAGATATAGACAGATACGACAGCGTTTTTCTTACCCCTAAATGGACTGCCTTCCTGGGCTGTCGGGCTCCATCTACCCGATACATCTGGTTATGAGGTGCCAGTTTTCGGCCTTCGACCATTCTCCGGTTTGCTGCTGGACTTAGCTGTCTGAGACTATTTGAGACGAATACCATGGAACCATTTTATAGACCGAGGTAGCTTGTATACATTATTACCTGGTTATGACAAACTTTTGGAAAGGCTGTCATTGTATTAACAAATCAGCGACATATACCTACAGCAAAGATCGTGTTATTTTTTTTAACAATTTCTCACATGAAAAATAACCTTGCTCCATAGTAATTTCTTCTTCTTCTTCTTCTTCTTCTTCTTCTTCTTCTTCTTCTTCTTCTTCTTCTTCTTAAGCATATTACGTAGGTTACTCGCCATTTTACTCTGTCCCTCTAGCCTTTAATGCGTCCTGTGAGTGTCAAATTCTCCAAGCCCTCTTTATTCATTATTTGTTCGAAGAATTACAAATGTTTTATTTTGATTCTAAATATAAGTGTGTTTTTTTGTGCTTTTTATTTTTGGTTTCCATTATATTAAAAACTTCTTCATTATTCACTTGTTTAGACCATGGTTTTCTCAACATCGTTCTGTAGAAGTCTATCACTCAGACTACTACCCAAGAGCCTGAGAAAGACTTATAAAATCAAAGGTACCCAACTGTATCCTTAATAATTATGATGACGATCTGAATCCAGCCGAGAACATTTTCTTTAAGACTTCCGATGCTCTAGGCCAATAGACGTTAATTTCACAGTTTGAAAAAACAAATAAAAAAAAATTGTTTTGTCTACTCAGACATGTGTGTCCAGTAAAGTTTTATAGTGATACCAACATCTAATAAATTGTTTCTCTGCTGCATGTAAAGCATTTGGTCTTACACTTAGCATAAAGAAAACTGAAGTTGTGCACCAACCTTGTCCTATTCCGAAGCAATTGCTTGGTGAGAAACAAAAAACACCAGTCTACAAATTTACAGAGAGACCATTGAAAGTAGAAGACAAAGCCCTGAACTATGTAAAGTCTTTCACCTATCTTGGTAGAAAAGTCAATTACAGTGGAACTTTAGATGATGAAATCATGCATCGGATTGCTAAGGCTACCAGTACTTCGGCAAACTTCGCCATCGCTTGTGGAATGAGCGGATAATTCAACTGGATACGAAGATTCGGGTTTACAGAGCTGTTGTACTTGCCATCCTTTTGTATGGCTCAGAGTCGTGGACTCCATACAGGTACCATATACGCCAGCTAGATGTTTTCCATAAAAGCTGTCTGCGTGCAATCTGTGCAGTTAAGCTTCAAGATAGGACATCTAACGTAGACCTGTTTAACAGGTGTAATATTAGAGGAATCGAGACTTTTATCATACAGTCTCACTTACGGTAGACTGGTCATGTCTTGAGAATGTCTGATGACAGGATACCCAAGATCCTAATGTACAGCCAGTTAGATCAGTGCTACAGGAATGTTGGACGCCCATGGCTAAGATACAAAGCTGAAAAGCAACTTGTCAGCAATCAATATACCACATAACACGCTTGAGCGCTTAGCCTTGGAGCCAGTAGAGTGGAGATCAACGTGCTTTAGTGGACTCAGCAATTTTCAATCTGCTTGTCTGAATCATCTTCAAGAATCGAGAGCAAGATCTAAAAGGTCAGCCAATCTAACAGTGATCTCATCTCACAATCCTCACACTTGCTCCATATGTGGCCTCTTTTGTAAATCACTAGCGGGTCTTAAATGCCACTTAAGATTATCGCACAAAATTTCATAACTGAATCAATAAGCTGTCAGATCCTCATACGTCGAAACCGACGGGAGATTATATTATATATATATATATATATATATATATATATATATATATATATATAAAGGAAAACTTATTTTATATATGCTATGTTTTTTTGTCTTTATTCATATACATTCATTTTACGAATATACTCTATCTGAAATGTTTACACACACGCATTCACACACATGCACGCACGCACACACACACACATGCACGCACACACACACATGCACGCACACACACAGATATATATATATATATTTATAAGAGAGATACACACATCGAGAGAGAGAGAGAGAGAGAGAGAGAGAGAGAGAGAGAGAGAGAAACTCAACATACCAACATATACAAGTTCAAGAAAAAATAGCTAGGACTTTTCTCTCTATCTATATATATATATATATATATATATATATATATATATATATATGGTTGTGTGTACGTGTGTGTGTGCATATTTGTGTACACGCGTGTGTGTGCATGTGTAAATTTTGTTAATCCTACACTTTTTTACCGAAAAGTTATTTTTAGTGGATACACGTATTCGAGTTTCGAGTAGACGTTCCGTTTATTTATTAAACAATTTTTTTTTTTTTTTTCGTTTGCCGGGCAGAACATTCGAGAAGTTTTATTAGAAAAAGATATGCGCTCTTCGGTATGATTCGAACCCGCTTCCCCCTAAGGTCGGGCGTGCTTTGACCTCCCCTCTCGTTATTACTATTATTATTATTATATTGAATGTATCATGATACTATGGTTGTGTAGATCTCTTGAGTACCAAGGAAGATAATAAGTTTTTGCTTTGCTGATATATGGCAGTCACCACATCAGTTATTTGGCATTCATTTTCAGTTGTGTTAGGGACGACTGTAATATTATTGTTATTATTAAAACGGCTTTTTCCATGTCAAAGCTGTGATGACGAAGATTTCGGAAAGTGTATTTGTTGTGTTATTTAATTATAAGTATCATATATATATACATACATATATAGTTAATTCATCGTCTGATAGAAACCTCCACAGAATGCAGAAAGCACTGGACGGCCGTTTCGTCCTGTATTTGGGACTCATCAGCAGTGCGCATCCACTACCGAGAATTGAAACCCTGACAGGTGGGTTGTCAAGCGAACATCATACCAACTGTTCCAAATGGCCATCGGTGACGAAGAGATTCCAAATCAGACTCAAGTTAGCGCCGCTCACTCACATATTCCGTGGCGGAACTCTACTGAGTTCTCTGTAACCATAGGACTGTGCCCCCTGGAGCCACGACTACTCTCACCAAGCCGCTCCCTCCAGAGCATTAGAAGCCGGTTCAAGCGATGATAAACGCAGATAGTAATTAGTAGGAGGATTTGAGAGAGAGAGAGAGAGAGAGAGAGAGAGAGAGAGAGAGTGAGAGATAGATAGATAGATAGATAGATAGATAGATAGATAGATAGATCAGCTACTAAGAAAGTTAGTTCACTGTCGTGTTAGACAATTTTTCTCTCCGGAAATCTTCCATTCGTCCATACTTAGAATATTGCTGCCACATATGGTCCGGTGCCCCTGCTATTTACCTTGAGCTCCTTGATAAAATCCAAAGAAGAATCAGCAATATTATTGGTCCTGATATGACTGCTCGGCTTCAGTCACTTATCCACCGGCGTAAGGTTGCCTCTCTGTGTCTTTGCTAGAAATACTCCCAATTGTCCAAATGAGCTTTTTGCTATGGCACCTAGTATTTTTTTAAATTTAAGCGCAGTACAAAACTGACGACAAGGTCTCATGTAATTACAGTTGAGTTGACTAGATGCAACCGTAAGTTCTATGCTAACAGTTTCTTCTCTCTTCTGGCTCCATGCTTTCTAATAAACTTTAATCGGCAAAAATTTAAATGCAATCTCAATTGTTATCTACTGTCCTCCTGATTGTTCTCTTCTCTTTCTGCTCGTCATTATTGTTTCTTTTGCTAATTCTTCCACACCCGGCAACCCCTTGTGTTTTAGTGGCATTACTACCTTACTTAGGATGATACCGATAGAAATAAAGATAAGTACATGTGTATAGACTGACAGACAGACAGATAGATAGATAGATAGATAGATAGATAGATAGATAGATACGAAGAGACTGACATAGATAGATAGATAGATAGATAGATAGATAGATAGATAGATATGATGAACAGGCTGAGATAGATAGATAGATAGATAGATAGATAGATAGATAGATATGGTCTGATAAATAGATAGATAGAGCTGTGGCATAACTACGGGCGATAATGTGTATGCCCATATTCCCATAAATACAGTAGTGAATACTCTACGTGGTCTAGAGGTAGTCAAACTCTTTGCCTCTGGGCAGAGGGGATCCCCAGGCGTGGCTATGTCGAAAGGCAGAATCTCATCTCGAGAAACAGCTAATTAGACCCTGTTTTATATAGGGGGGGCCATGGGAATTTTATAATGATCAAACGAGCTTGGATACCCCATATTAAATTCGGCTTTATGCCACATCTATCCGCGTGGGGCGGTTGGTAGATACTAGAGTTGGAGATTCATTGTAGAATTTACTTGACTCATTTCAAGCAGTTGACTACATCTTCTCCGCTCCGCTGGTGAATCTTATATGTGTTATTCTTGTCCTAAGTATTATCATTCATTACCAACCTTCATTTGATTATTCTATACAGTATCCTTCCTTAGGTGACAGCAGATAGATAGATAGATAGATAGATAGATAGATAGATAGAAGTATGTATGTGCATGGTCTGATAGATAGATAATAGCTGGCCACTCGTGAGGACGGGTAGCCAATCCCTATTGTAGACGCCCTCTCAGGCATATTTGTCTTTGTTTAGCACCCACAGAGACCGTGGTTTATACTGCAATTATGCTGGGAGAGAGTGTGTTATCTAGCGTGATCAACAATCTGAACAAAGCCAACATACTCAGACCCTGGGTAACGATAACTTGTGACTTTGTGCTATTAAAGTCATCGACGGCCCCTAAGTGTTCCGTCTACTCAATTTCACCTACAAGGCTTGCGTCAACCCGGGGTATGACTGTCAGGAGACGCACGCTGGGATCGCACCCCCCACATCCAAACCTATAACATCAAGAAGTCAACTTCCTGACAAATCGACCATAGTGAGATTCGAACCCGGGGCTCAAGGTTAGAAAGCGAACATTCTAACCACTTAGCTGATTAATTAAAATTAATCATTATGTCTGACGACCGAAAAGGGTTTGAAACCCAGGGTCACAAACTCAGACGAACGCAACTAAATAGGTTAGCTCTATCCCTGATATTTAGCTTTTTTTGCAATAAATACTTGAAAATCTTTCTCTCTCTCTCTCTCTCTCTCTCTCTATCTATATATATATATATATATATATATATATATATATATATATATATATATATATATATATATATATATATATATATATATATATATATCGGCTCTCCCGTCGAGATTCGACGTATGAGGGTCAAGCAGATCAGTTCCCAGGAAAGCGACAGCCCGACACCGGCACATGAGATTTGATTATAGTGGTGAAGGCCTCGTGCAGGACCGTCCAAACTTTTTGAAGGGGCGAATACAGAGACCTGGTGCACCGAATGCCACAAAAGGTTCCCAAACGACCCTCCGCAGGTTTTGAATTCAGAGTTGTCCTTCTCCTAGACCAGTTGCCATCCAAGGCTATAGAACCCAGTCTGTCCTGCTATTTTACCCAAAGCCGGAGGGAGAGTAAGAGGATTCATACCTTTCCCAAGGGTATTATTTAACGTAAGTGAATGTAATATATATATATATATATATATATATATATATATATATATATATATATGTTTCATTAAAACGACAGACAAGGTACTATGGTTAAGCTTTATATTTAATTTTTCTTGTGTTCTGACAAGAGCTTTTTTTTCTGGACAAAGTACATAACGCACACACTCAATTAAGCTGAAAAATCGAATCATCCTTGATAATGGCTGAAGTTATAGTCGAAAGCGCCCGGAAATATAAAACATTTGGACAGAAAAGAAAGCTCTTGTTAGAACACAAGAAAAATTAAATAAAAAGATTAACTGTAGTAAATAGTCTGTCGTTGTTAATGAAACATGCATAAAAAGGAAGGATTTCTTTTAAATATACAACTATATATATATATATATATATATATATATATATATATATATATAGGAAATCCAGTTGATACATAATCCATGTAAATTAAAGTATTAAAACTGATTCTCAGAGGGAGCTCAATGTTTTATTCAAACAGTGCCTATAAATTGTAAACAATAGGGACTAAAATTACTCCATAATATCATCTTCATTTCACCTTGTAAAATTAAAATTAAAATTAAAATTAATTTACAAGGATTTTCAAATCCATCAGGTTAGGTTAACAGGAAAGATCAAAATAAAACTTTTATTTTGATCTTTTTGTTAACCTGATTGATTTGAACATCCTTATAATTTAATTTTGATTTTACAACGTGAAATGATGATGAATATTATAGTGTCATACTTATTATTTATATATATATATATATATATATATATATATATATATATATATATATATATATAGTAAAGGTAACAAATCCGTTGGTAAATAATCCAAGTGTAATAGTATATAATCCTGGGTTGATAAGACAGACGATCGATATTTTCGTCGGCCAAAATAGGCTATTCCCCATATGTGGTGAGATTAGATTTTATTGTTTATTATACAAGTGAATATGTTAACTCTACCACTAATAGTGAGCGCTTTCCACTAGGTACTGCGCATATAAAATCATCTAGCTATCTATACATACATACATACATACATATATATATATATATATATATATATATATATATATATATATATATATATATATAGAGAGAGAGAGAGAGAGAGAGAGAGAGAGACGGATAGATATATAATATGTGCAAGAATCCATAGGAAGAGATTTCGGAGACCATATTAAACTATTATGCTCACGGGCTAAAATACAAGACAAACATTGACTGCATTTTTACATAATGTGTAAGCACATATTGCATTTTACTGTTTTCAGCGATAAAATAATAAATAATAAGTAATATTCATTTGGAATCAAAAATTTCTCAAATTATCTTCCACTCGTGGAACAAATGGACGTTAAAATAGGGAAAAGGGTGAAATCATAGGAAGTTTAGAAAGAGGGAATATTTAAGAGTACAAAAGCCAAGGGGTCGACACAAAACCATAAATAGGAGGACAAAATGGCAGAAAGAAAATAAATATGAAGACAGGCAGAGAATACACAAAGAAAACAGGCGTAAAACGAAGACATTAATAAAATGTGGAAAGAAAGAAAGTCAGAAATAGTGAGGAATGATGGGGAAAAGAAAAGTAAAATAAATAAAGAAATAAAGAAAGAAAGAAAGAATACTTAGGAAGGAAAGAAAGACAAAAGACTAGGGAAAGAAAGTTGAGGGAAAAGAAAGGAAGAAAGAAAGTAAAAAATAAAGAAACAAGGGAGTGAAAGTTGAGGGAAAAGAAAGAAAAAGAAAAAAACAACGAAAGAATACTAGTGGAAGAAAGAAGGAAAATCCTCGGGAAAGAAAACTGAGGAAAATGAAGAAAGAAAGAAACTTAAGGAAATAGAAAGAAACTCAAGGGGAAAGAAAGAAAGAAACACGAATGAAAAGAAAGAAAGAAACTCAAGGAGAAAGAAAGAAAGAAAGAAAGAAAGAAAGAAAGAAAGAAAGAATAAAAAAACAAAAAACAAAAAACAAATGAAAAGAAAAAAAAGAGTTATGGAGAAAAACCCTATTCAGATTTATGATACAAAGCCGATAAAATAGAGGGCGTCGGCTTTACAGACGTTACAAAGGAAAGGCGGTGCTGTGACTTTCCGTGGGTCAGGCAGAGTCTTGTCTAAGCTGAGGAGAAAGAGGGGGAAAAGCTAGGAAATAAAATGGGTGGGAGCACAGAAAAGGGCGTACCTACATGGAAAGAGTGTGTTTGTTGTAAGGAAAAGATATAGACAGTGTTTATTGGAGAATATATATTTTCTGTCTCTTATTGGACAATCCCTTGTTCTCTATTACATTTCCTACAGCGCCCTTTGTTCTTAACTTGTGCTAAAGATTACGAAAAGATTTTAGACTCTATTATCTAGGAATTACGTTATTTAATATAATTAATTTAATTTAATATAATTAATTATTAGTTAGAAAAAAAAACACTATATTATTAGCAAAAAACCAAAAAAAAAACACTATATTTTCTCTGGTTTCTATTTATAGGTACCTCCGAAGATATGTTAAAGATGAGCATAACGTGATGAAAAAGAAAGATATTCATCGTTAAAATCTTGTTATTATTGTTAAGAGGAAAGACCAAAGGATTTTTTTTATTTTTAAATTATAATTTTAAACCTTTTTAGAACATTCAAAATTTTGGTTATTTTTTTTTCTTTGCGTCAGCGAGAGATCATAAATTAGTATAGGAAATTTTAGCGTCTTTTTGCAATGAAAAATACATTGATTTAGAAATTCTTGCAAAAATCAAAAAATTATCGGATTTTAATGAAACTTTAAGAACTTATTCAAAAATGAATGAAATTATTCTAGAAATCTTTCTTTTTAAGAAAATCAGAGTAAAAATATTTTTTTACATGTTACTCCTCCCCCCAAAAATATACACAAATATTTAATTTCATGAAATTTCGAGAAATTCTTTTTTTGTGGCTTTTCGTGTTGATATTAGTTATAAGGATAAGTCCTTGGATAATTTAAATCATCAATTTTTTGTGAAACTAAACCCACAGTCATAGAAAATTTGCTCTGAACCGTAGAATAAAAAAATACAAGACAATATTTAATTAAAATTTTTAACTGTCTTATGGTCATTAATGTCTTAAGAAAAAATTGTTTAAAAAAATAATGATTTTTATAAGAATTGTTTTCATTTTTTAAAATTTAATTATAATAATTTATAAGGTTTAAAATCTTTTAAAATTCCGTATTAATTTTTAACGGCTAGTTGATATTATTGTAAATAAAATCTATATGCACTAATCATAAATAAAAAAAAGTTTACTGGCCCCAGCATTTTAAAAAGAATTAGGAACTTTTTTTTGTGTGTAAAGCGTTCCAATTTAAGTAAATACGGATGACCATAAAAGATATAAAAAAAATAAGAGCAGTAACTATAGTAAATTTAGAATTTATTAGTAATTTTCCTCAACAATCGTCTTCGTAGGTAAAGAACCGAAAATTCAATAAAATATTAGATTACTTAGAATATTTTACAAGTTTTTTAAGATAGTAATATTATATATATATATATATATATAAATATTTATTGAAAAATAATCATATTTTTAAATAAATAATTATATTTATGCTCTACTTATGTATCGAGCACTATTTTTAAAAAATAATAACAAAAATACTAAAGAACTTTGGATTATTTACCTAACGAGTTCTTTCCTATTTTCTATATATTTTACACACACACACACACACACACACACAGACACACACACACACACACACACACACACACACACACACACACACATATATATATATATATATATATATATATATATATAATACAGTTAATCAGTCCGTTTTTATCCGGATGGATCTTAGTAACATTATTAAAACTGATCCATAGAAAGCTCGATGTATTTATTATAACAGAGCATATGTATTCTTTATAGTAAAAACAAAAATTACCTCAACATAGAATAGTCTATTTCAAGCCGTTCTGTGTATTCATTTTGATGATAGCCGCGCAGAACGGCTTGAAATAGACTTTAGTATGTTGAGGTAATTTTTTTTTTATTGCAATGTAATAATATATATATATATATATATATATATATATATATATATATATATATATATATATGCTACTATTTGTTAAAACTTATTGATGTTCTAGTTAGTCTTTGTTGGTGTTTATTTTTTTGTTGATAGTCTCTTAAAGGGGTTCTTAGATATGATTGGTTTGTATTTTTTTTTAGACATATAATAGACAAACATCGATCATTCTTCCTTCTATGGCATCCATCTGGAGGTGTCTTCACACGACAGTTGACTTTCCCAGACACTATAACTCGGGACTCAGGTTTGGACAATTGGGGATCTGGGGACAGCGATACAAGCCGGAACAGTGTGAAAACGGATTGTCAATTGACTTCCAACCAACCACAGGGAGGTCGAATGTTGATGATAATGATCTATCATCAGTAGTAGCAGAAACAAACGTAATACAACAGCAGATAAATACAGCTAGAGATAGTGTAAAACGGTAGAATTATTTCAAGTAATGCTGACGACAAAATTATTGAGAAGACAATATTGGATTTGTATGAATAAATCTGAGATTTGGACATTATCTAAAATGGGTAATCTATAAATTTGCGTGATGTAAGATATTTTACTTACGGATATTTATTGAAAGATAGTCGGCTCCAAACTGAGGCTAAATATTAAGTTTATTTGTTTTACGACACGTCAATCATTTAATGCGGATATTTAATGTTTTTCTAAATAAAGCCTTGCATTTAAACAGTAAAAATATTTTATTTTAAATAGTAAAACAGCTGTTAATCGTGGTTATAATTTTAAAAAAATATATATTTTAGAAATCAGCTTAATTTTTCTTAGTAAGTGGAATATTTAAAGTGTGAAAAAGTATTTTGAAAAAAAAAATCTTTTAATTTTGGTAGTATTTCAAGCGGATTGAATTAAAATTGCTGCAGTTTGTCAGAATGTGTTTTACGGTGAATTGCACTTGGTATGCTACCCATACTGCACTACTACAGCGTCCTTTTTCGCGAGCTCTGATTGGTCAAAATACAGCGTGCTTTTTCGCGAGAATCTGATTGGTCAAAATACAGCGTCCTTTTTCACGAGCACTGATTGGTCAAAATACAGCGTCCTTTTCCGCGAGCTCTGATTGGTCAAAATACAGCGTTCTTTTTCGCGAGAATTTGATTGGTCAAAATACAGCGTCCTTTTTCGCGAGCACTGATTGGTCAAAAAATAGAAGTTTAGCAATTCAAATTTCGATGTTTCCTTTTGCACGACAGAGAAATGGCACCATCATTTATGGGGAGAAATACACAGAAGCTTGGATGGCACAAGGGCCGAATGTGATAATAACACGCTTTTAGGACGTAGGCGATCATGTCTCTTCACAAATTTATTTCTGTATTACCCGTGAATTGCCATGAATGACAGAGAAAGATAGTGGAGTGGTTTTCCATTGCCGTCTCCGTGGTTTCTGATGTAATGGAATAACCTGTCACCCCCATGAGTGACTACACTATAAGTATCTGTAAATCAACGGTGTACAGAGACTAGCTGGGATCTGTTCCAGCTAGACGGCCGAACTCTTTGTCTTCGGGTAGGGAGGAACCCGGACGAAGGGCAGAGTCTCGTTCTGGGAGTTTAACTAACCCGATCCCGTTTACGTAGATTCTACGGGCATTTTTTGGCCGAGCCTACGAGCTCGGAAGACCCACGTTAAACTCCGCCTTGTTCCACATCTACCCTCGAGGTGGGAGGCTAGTAAATACCAACTAGCTGGTATCTGTTCCAGCTAGGCAGTAGACAGAGAGGAACCCGGACGAGGCTCCGCCGAAGTCTCGTCCAGGGAGGTAGACTAACACTGAACCCGTTTATGCGGGTTCAAAATGGGAATAATTTTGGCCGAGCCTACGGGCTCGGAGATCCCACGTCAAACCCGGCCTTGTGCCATATGCGTAGTGGGGGTGTAATTATACTAGCTGGTATCTGTTACTCAGCTCCTAGCTACTGTTGAACTCTCTGCCTTCGGGCAGAGAGGAACTCGGACGAGACTATGCTGAAGGGCAGAGTCTAGTCCGGGAAGGTAGACAGACCCGAACCCGTTTATGCAGTGTTTACGGGGAAATTTTGGCTGAGCCAACGGGCTCGGATTGTCCCACATTAAATTCGGCCTTGTGCACATCCTATCTCGTGGGGAGGTTGGTAAATATTTCTAGCTGGGATTTGTTGAGTACGACTCAGACTTACGCGAGAACTACCGACCTTCCAGTAGTAGCACTCAATTCTGGATTGACTTGCGACGACCTTGTGCATAACTGTTACCTTGTTGTAGAGTGGTTTACAGTGGAGGCTTGTATTTGTTCTAAGTCGGTCCTAAAATAGGTTCGACGTACAAAACGTTAGGAACTTCATATAATAGGTATAACGCAGAGTAATCTAGTGTGGTGGCTGATACTTTAGTATCCGATTAACGGTCGTCCGACATTGACTGACTGACCAACTCCCTGAGCGACTCCTACTACTCCTACTTATTATAGGTGGGAGAGTCTATTAACTATAGAATAGGTGTGTTCCACTATAACATACCTTTATTGTTATTGTACTGGTTTTGTAGAATAGACATTTTATCCACCTTGTTTTTCAAGTATATATTCCTATTAGCACGGAATATAACAGTTTCCAGATTAGAGTTCTCGCTGCATTTTCAACATGATCTTACACAATTATATCTGGTTCATTAGCCTGAATTATTATTATTAAAATAATTATATGTTTTTAATTTATACTTCAAACTCTTGGAATATATTTTTAAAGTATTTTTAGATCAATAAATTTTTATAAAGTATTTTAGTTTCAACAAAAATTTTCAATAAAAGGTTGGGCTGGATTTGGATAATCGGAATAACAAAAGATGCGCCACAGAGGCTAAGCAAAGTAATAAGAAACAGAAAAATTTCGTTAGGAATAAAGAAACTAGTGCCGAACTGCTATGTGCGAAGGTACGTTAAAAAAGTATTCGTACTTTCGCCATAACAAATTTTTAAACAAGAGCGCGAATAATTTTTGACTTTCCCTCGTAATATCAGTCTTCGAATATAACTGAATATTGGACAATTTCCTCGCAAAAAGTTTTTTTACGGAGTGGAGTTGTTATCCCTACGCCCAATCGGGTTTGGATTCAGTGTTATTCTTCTCCTTGGCTGGTTGCCAATCAAGGCTGCAGAGCCTAGCATGCCTTTCTATTCACCTCAGGCTGAGTTTGGGAACAGAGATAGATTCAAACTTTTCCGATGAAAGCAAACACAGCGGCCTCGATTTGAATTTGAAAGACATGCTAATTTTACGCTGATAACCGTATAACCGCTAGGTCACGTGTGCATCCGTTATATTTCTGTATATGGGGTGCTATCTAAAAGTTTAAGAAATGCGAACAACAAATTGGAATCTAATGTGATATGAGTTTTTACCTTTGAACTTTGTGAGTAATATCTTTGTGAGCAAGTAAGACGATGTGCAGATAGGAAAAATGGATACATCGAAGGAAACTTTTAAAGTCTCCTTTGATGTATCCATCCAAAACAAAGAAAAATACATTAAAAAAAAACAAAAAAAATACATGAAAATTTAAAAAAAAAACAAAGAAAAATACATCAAAAATTAAAAAAAAAAACAACGAAAATTACATAAAAAATTAAAAAAAAAGTCTACCAAATGAATACTTTATTTTCTTTTAGTTTCGTTTTTGCGATGTTATGGCGATAAAAGATATAAAATATTTTTTCTTCCACTGTCAAATACACTACACTGACAAATTTTAAAAAAAAAAACAATATAAAAGGGAAAAGAAACTCTTTATTTAGGGTGGCGCCTCAGACTAAAGTAATGGCTAACGAGCTAGTCTTGATGAGCATTCCTACTGAGTAATGTGTCCAAGACTCACCGGAGGTCCATATTTGTCAAAAGTTGAAATTTGTAAATAGGACACCTCAGTGTTAACGTAATGGTTAACGAAGTAGTTTGGTTGAGTATTCAGTTAGTCAGTTATGTTCCATGCGTAATTCACGTTTAAGCGATCATGTATCTTTCGATACATGACAGACAGATTTTTTTCCCGCAGTAGGTTGCTATTTCTTTCTGCCGGAGACCAGTTGCCATTCAAAGCTAGAGAACCCTATCTGTCCTGCTATTTACCTGGATGTATTTATGCAGTCTGTCCGGTCTGTCATGCAATTTACAGACAGACCGGATAGACAGCTATTTATTTTCCTGGAGGAATAAATACCTCCAGGTAAATAGCAGGACAGACCGTGGGGAGAAGAAGGGGATCCATACCTTTCCCAAGTGTATTAGCACGTAAGTGAATATAATGGATCTGACTGGAATTCGAACTCGGCTCTCCGATTTCTCAGTCCGAGCCGCTACCCATTACTAATACTAATATGTTCCATCTTCACTGATAGCAAATTCTTGCGGCCGTAAATCATCTCTCATTATTCAGTACTTCGTTTAGCTCGCATATTTAAAACATTCAAGAACATGAAAAAAAAATTAAAAAAAAAACAAAGAATAATACATCAAAAAATTAAAAAAAAACAAAGAAAAATGCATCAAAAAATTAAAAAAAAAAAATACATCAAAATTTTAAAAAAAAATCTCCACCAAATTATATATATATATTTTATATACTTTTAGTTTCATTTTTGCGATGTTATGGCAAGAATTTTTCTTGTATGAACTGATTTCAAAATGCAGCTGAAAACAATCACCGAGTATGAATTAAGCCGTTTTCATTTAGGGAACAACGTTGGATAACCTTGCTAGTGAGCATTTTGCAATTATTGAAGCATCGACATCGACCGCATTATTATGATTAATGTGGCACTAAAGCAACAGCCACCGCCGCCGTCTCTAAGGTGGCGGTGGATAAGTAGTCACGTTCCTGACGCAATTTTGCGGTTGTCATGTTAAAAGTTGTTTAATGCGGGATATTTTCACAACAATCAGAAAAACAAACGATAGATTTTTGTTTTTTTATTGTCAAAACAATTCAAGGTCAACAACAAAAAAGAAAAGAAAGAGGGGTGTGGGGGTGAGTATACACTGTTGTTTTTGATTTCCTTGATATTAAATAACTTAATAATCATCGGCATTCACGAAATCATAAATAAATCGAAAATATGCAATAAAATAAAAAAACAAGCAAAATCAAACAAACAGATAAAAGTAAAAAAAATAATAATAATAATAATAATAATAATTTCACTGATTAATGCCGGTGACTGGGACATCTTTAAAATGAAAAAAAAATTCCAATTATTGTTTAGACAACTAAATTCCTTTTTTAAAATCTTGATGGCAATAAAACGTTCTGTCATTTTTTTTTTTTTAAGTTTATACTCTTGACGGGGTCTGCCTTTTTGGTGCAACCAAGAAACCGACCTCATCCCTTCATATTTAAAAAAAAAATGAAGTCTTCATATAACATCATCACTGACGACAATGTGATTATCATATATCACTGCATGGGATTTATTTCTAATTAATTCATTTGAAAATGGAAACTATTCTCCTTTAGAGAAAAAAATTCTTATGAACAACTTCTTTAGAACCACAAGGAAACCTGTTTCAAAAGCAAAAGATGTTTACACGTATGATCTCCCTTAGTGAAAAATGCCAATAGTTTAAAATACTGACAAAGTTAGTTCCCTGAAAGTTTACAAAATTCAAGAACCATTGTACTTAATCTTTGTTTATGTATGTGGTTGTGTATGAGAGAATGTGTGAGTGAACAAGTGAGAATGAAACAAAATAAAATTTTAAGAAAATATAAAGACGAGAGAACAATAACAGTACAGGATTCAAGGTGATAGAAGATGACAATTGACATTCCAATTAAACTTACAGAGAACATTGTATGCTAAGAAGTGCTAAGGGTAGTCAAAGGAAATAATTTTATTTTCTTAATAATTTTCCATATACTACAATTGAAATGGCTAGATGTAACCATAAGTTCTAGAATAGTTTCTTTCCTCACACTTCTCACTTGTGGAACTCCTTTCCATCTTCTTGCTTTCCAGTCAACTGCCATTATCACAATGCTATCCATGTAGCATCAGATTGTCAGCCAAGATTAAATCTCAGTAGTCCTCTTTGGTTTGTATTGCTTTAAATGTTGAATAAATCTGGTGAGAAAGCACAATCTTGTCTTACTCCTCTTTCTGTTTTTGTACATTTACTTATTCTCTATCCCCATTATTATCTTGAGGCATCAAATGTTTATTTCATTCTGTAATCTCTGTCTATATACATTAGAAATGGCAAGAAAGTTTTATTTTTTTAGAAAATATTTGTTTTATAATTAAAAAAAAGTTTTGGTATAATATTATCACTGATGACAATGTGATTAACACATATCGCTACGTGTGAATTATTTCTAATTCATTCATTTGAAAATACAAACATACATTTCAAAGAAGAAATGTACGATTTCATTTTCAAACAAAACGATTATGTTTCAAAAGTAAAGGATGTTTATACGTATGATCTTTCTTTGTGAAAATCGCCATTAGGTTAAAATGATGAAAACGTTATTTTCATTGAATGTTTACAAAATTCAAGAAACACTGTATTTAATCATTGTCTGTAATTATGTATGAGAGAGTGTGTGAGTGAACAAGCGAAAACAAAGCAGAATTTAAAGAAAAGTTATTTTTCTTAAGAAACGATCGAGCCATTCAGAAAGCTCAAATGGGTGGTAGTTTGTCCATGACTGTTCTACATCATTCTCTCTTTTTCTATTTTATTCTCTTTCTGTTTCCTTCTCAGTATGTCATACCAAGCGTTATACACACCATACATATGTACAAGCGTATTAAGATATAGATGACTAGCTTAAAAGCCGCTCTACCGTGAGGCCTTTAAGATAGCTCCAACGATGGGCTTTATCACAATAAGTAGCAAGTAGTAGATGCAATAGGAAACAATATGATACACAAGAACTCAAAATTGATCGCTGCATTTAAGTATTGCATCAATATTTAAACTTACCTTTTAAAAGTTCAACCATAATTCTTCTGCTGCCACTTAAAGACAGTTTGATCTGAGTAGGTCCTTACTTTCCGTAAAAACAATTATTTTTATTTCATAGGGGACTTTCGTTAGATTTTATAATTAATTTAGATTATTCCCAAATTTATTTTCAAGTTGTAAAAATTGTTATCTTACAAAAAATTCGTCGCAAAAAAATCACGTAAAAATCGTTGAAAACAATCGCAATAATGAAAACTTGGGGATACAAAATTTCAGGATCTCGGGTCCGTATCCGACCCGGAATATTTTTAATTTGCTCACGGAATCGGCCTGATTCCAAAATGGTTTATGGTGACCTCTAGGAGTAAAGTTGAAGACACGGACAATTTTATTTTGAAACACTGTCATTTGAGAACAGTAATTTTTTCATTTGAACATGAGCTATTGAAAATTAGAGGGTTGTGTCCCTTTAATAGTTTTTATCTGTCAAGATGGCGGAATCCTAAAAAAAATCACAGTAATGAAAACTTGGGAATCGAAAATTTTAGGATTGCGGGTCTGGATCTGACCTGGAATGTTTTTAAATTGCTCACGGAGTTGGCTTGATTCCAAAATGGTGTGATATGTTGGGCTATGGCTTCTAAGAATAAAGCTGAAAAAGTGTGACACATTTACACACTGACATTCGCATTTATTATATAGATAATATACATATAAATATCTAATACGCTCTGTTCCAGTATAGTCTAGCCCTGTGCAACCGTTTCACACAAGATGTCACTCACACGGTACGTGTATACTTGAAATCTCGCCTTTCAAAAAGTGTAAGGATATAAGCAATAAAAACTGAGATAATAGCGTGTTATTTTACAACATAAGCCTCCCTTAGGATATGCGGGTAGCGTAACGGCTATCAACGTGAAAAGTGAAAACGGAGAACCGAGTTCAAATTTCGGGCTAGTCAATTGCATTCACTTTTACACTTAAATGCTCGTTTCTAGTGTTGTCAAGTACCATGATACCGTTATGTGCATGATGTCGCTTATATTTTATAAGTTTATTTAAATGGTTCAATGTAACGTTTCAGCCTACTCTTTTAACTCTGGAGAAAAACGGACCTATATCTACCTTTTTAAATCTTATGTAAAAAGCAACTATGCTTAACTTTTTGACTCTAATATAAACAGGGCCAACGTAAATATATGTGAAGCGCTTTGACACAGGATGGAAAATGCGGGTTGACGGCCAATTGAGTACCAGACAATCGCCTCTCTGGATATTTGAGTCCCTAGACAAATGCGTTCCTGGATAAGTGTGTACCTCTGATAAATTTTTGAAGTTATCATTATTATTTTTTTAAGAGTTAATGTAGAAATTTGCACACCAGTAACTTTAATTACTCTAAACAAGCAGAAAGGTACTGACCATAAATTTTAAAAAAAGAGAGAAAAATTTCTTTTTAAAGCAAGAGAAAATTAAGCTAGCAGTTTTAGTTCACCCCAGCAGT